TGTTCTTGTCCCCAATCTCTAAAATTTTGTACCACACTATCAAACCTAACACAGACCATAAAAATCCCCTTACAGCGATCTCTTGCGTTCCCTATCCCATAGGACAGCAATGGCCCAAGAAGATCCAAAGCTCAAGCCCAGATTGGACAATTTAACGAGCCCAATTTCAAAAGAAAGTAAGAAATGGGCCTTCGAAGTAGCTCAGTGGGGAGACCCTGGGTTCCTTCCGCAGAGCAAAGAGGGTTGGGGAACCATCAGATAACCTGCTAAGGAAAAACTGATCCAGTGAACGCTAAGCGCTAAAGCTCAGGAAAGCTTCCCATCCTATCTAACACTTCCCAGCCCGCCTCTATGCGTCCAATTTCCCTTTCCCAAATGGTTTCCGCTTTTTATTTTCAGTCTTTGTTACCAACATACTCGATTTTAGTTTCCTCCGTTACTGACTCTGCCGCTATTAGTTACACAAGCTTGAGGAAGTTAGTTCAGTCCATTGCTACGCTGCTTCCAGTGCCTAAAACAAAGCCTGGGCATTCCTATCCCGGACGAAAACCAGGCACGAGAAGGAGTAAGACCGCAAAATTCTAATCACGCTGGGTTTGCTGTTGCCAGGAAGCGTGTGGCATCCAAACACCTGCTATTGTAATACAGACGCGTACACGATCATTCTCCAAAGCTGGTTTGCGCCGTGATCACGCGGAAATATTCTTAAAACGCAGATGCCCCAACATCTACGAGATGGAACCCTGGAATCACAAGGAGGAATGGAACCCTGGAATCACAAGGAGGAAAGGCGCAGGTGATCCAACGACCCGGCCGAGCTCGGGCTGAGCACAGCAGAGGAGTCGAGCAGCGGCAGATGCTCGCGACTACAATTCGCGGAACAAAGTGAACTGAGCGCCCGCTGGCTCCGAGGCGCAGCTGCCCCTCGGGGCGGAGAAAGCGCAATCTCCGCCCTCGCGGCGAGCACGGTCCGGCGCCGAGGCGGAGAGCGCGCGGCCCCTCGGCGCCCGCGTTCGCGGCTCCCGCCCACCTGGAGCTCGCCGCCGCAGG